CTATTTAGAGTCTCTAGAAAACCGGTTTTTCGGAAGAAATGTTTTGGAGTCCAACTTTGCTGAAAATTTTATTATAGATGCAGCTCATGTCCTAGAGCCTATTCTGAAGTTTTCAGATTTTTTTCTCATCTGGTTCATGAGATATTCCCTAATTACTTTTTAATTAATCACCATGTGAAAGACCAAGCATTTTCACATAAGTCTATGCTAAAAGAATTTATCCAAAAAATTCACTTTTAGAAGAATTAAACTCAAATGAAACGTGTAAATGTCCCGTTTTGCCTGATTTAGCCGATATATATATATATATCTCATGATAGAAGATATTAGAAAGCTTGGTATTTTCATAATGAACGAGTTTCATTGGGTACTTCATTTCTACAATGTTTAACCTGGATGATTTTATTGAAATATTCACTAAAATGACTATAACTCAAAAAGAAAGACTCTTGCACATGAATTTTTTCTTTTATTTTAGAAAAAATTCTTTTCTTTCTTATTATGGCTTCTGAAACATCATCATCATCATCATCAGATTCAAAAAAACGTCGAATAATGATTATAACTGCTGATGAAACTATAATTGAACAAATTCAAAAGAATAGCAATACAACATTATTTAAATCAATTGTTTTGGATTCTAATGGTGATAATATGGAATTAGCTAATTCACATATTAAAGATATTCTACCTGAAGTTCAATCATTAAATAATAAGAAAACAAAAACTGGTACATTAACATGTGTTGTTTGTGGTTCACCAGCAAATGGATATAATTTTGATGCAATATCATGTGAAAGTTGTAAAGCTTTTTTTCGTCGAAATGCTCTTAAAGATCCAGTATGAATTATATATAATAAGATCTAATATATTGTATAATCATTGTTAATTTTATTTTATATAGACAACACTTGAATGTCGTCGTAATGGTAATTGTGATATAACACTTGAAACACGTCGTCGTTGTTCAGCATGTCGTTTAATAAAATGTCTAAATAAGGGTATGAGACGTGATCGACTTTTAACGGTATTAATAAAATAAATTTATGAAGATATTTTTAAAAAAATTAAATATTCATATTTAGGTTGAACAGAAAGCAGCAAAACGTCGTAAAATTGAAGAAAATCGAACATTAACCTTAAAAACAAATGAAAATAGTCAAAATTTAACATCAGAAATTAATCAAGAAAAATCTCCATTATTATCATCACCAATTATTGATCATGTAATTCTATTTTGCTTTATTATAAGAAGAAGAAAAAATCTATTTCTTTTTTATTCAGTCACCTATATCACAAGGTACAAATCTTCTTCTACTTAATGATTATACTGATCTTTTACCAAAAACAACATTACATGAATCACGATCATTACTTAGTGCAGAAGAATTACAACGTGTAGAAACAATACAATTTTCATTTGAACAACGTATTGAACTCGGTTAGTAGCTTCGAGAATCAAGTTTGCGAAAAGAAAACTACTCAAAACAATAAAAATAGACTAGACATTTTTTTTTCTTTTATTTGAGAAGTTCTTTTTAGTTTGATATTCTTTTATGAAATATTCGTTATTCTAATTATTAGACAATATTTTCGATGTTTTCTCTTTCAGTTTGTTATCATAGTCTCATTTAAAATAAAACTTATTAGGGAAATCATATGAAATGATACCCGTCGTTTGAGCTCATATTACGCCTACAAATACATCTTGATCAAACTAGCAAAAAAAACTAAATCGGATCTTTCCTATAAGCGGTTTAAGAAAAAAAAAACATTTATTATTTCAATTTTTTTTTGTTGAGAAGATCATATGTGTAGGTATCCTTAATCTCATTCATATTTAATTCTGCTCATGATATCGAGTCGCATCTTTGAAAAGTTTTCTTATTGGTTATAAGAGGTTTATCAATAGGATTTCTCTCGTTTATCAAAAAACAGCATAGATAAGTTCGCGGATCTTTCCTCGTTAATACAGACATGTTACAAAAACCGAGTGTATTTGAAAATTCAATATCTCAACAAATGAATACTGTTTTCAGTTAAGACTTTCAAGAAATTTTACAGATTATGAGATGTATCTGTGGACAAAAGTTTTGAGTCGAAATAACCGTTTTTAAGTCAAAACTAAACCCCCTCCCGTAATAGAAGCCCCTCTCATATTAGAAGCCCTCCCCTTATTAGAAGCCTCCTCTCGAAGGATCTGTATAAATGATATATTAGAAGCCCCCTTATTTTTACAAATTTTTTGGAAAATTTTATTGGTATTTTCACCGCAAAACCGCCGAAATTCAAGATCTTAAGATAAAAATTTGTTTAATTTTCTTATATGCCAGCGTAAAAATCTCAAAACCTCCTGGAAAGTCGTTTGAAAACTCTAAAAAACCCTAATAACCCCTGAAATTCTTTGGAATCTTTTTTACATCTAAAACTATTGAAAAAATTTGGGACTTAATAGAAGCCCCGTCCGAAAATTTCGGACGATGGACAGTTTAGAAGCCCCCGGGGGCTTCTATTATGGGGAGGGGTTTATGGGCATTATGTAGATCCAAATAAGCTATGTATATCCTAAAAAAGAACTAATGTCCATAAGTTATTTCTGCGATGATACTGCACTTTTACGGTGGTTTTTAAATAAATGCTGTGTTTTCATTCAGAAATGCTGACTTTCGACTTAAAAATTTGTAAAGAGACAAGATTTAACGAGAATAGTTTATTGTGAAAGTTTCAGATCTTTTGTTTTGCTTCTATCTTGAAAAAAGACATCAGATCTACCAGTCTGTAAAAAACACGATGTTACCATATCCATATCTTATGATAGAAACAGCGAAAATGTCTGAAACATTCACAATAAATTATTCACATGAGAGCCTGTCTCTATGCAAAGTTTCAAGCCGAAATTAAACAAGCTAATGGCACAAACGTTTTTCAAGATATTAATAACTTGTTTGAATCTTCATAACTCATATAGTCTTGATTCAAAAAGCGATTTATCAGTGAGAG